GAAGTTGCTAGAAGAATCGAGGGGATGCGCACGGGTATATAAGCTGGGGCGCTCTCTTAGCTGCTTTTCAACAACATCTACTACTCTCAACAGCAAAATGACAATCTTCTACAACCAACCAAGCGACTTGAACGAATTAAGCAGAATCAACGAATTCAACTTTCCTATAGAATTCTTCTTAAAGGATAATGCACCAGTCAAGCATAACGCTACTCCTTCTACATCTAAAGCTAGGTAAGTAATCGTTGATGGCGATGATTTCATTTGCTGACGTAGCTGCCAGACTCGATCTGATTCAACATGACAACTCGTACGAAGCGAAAGTAGATCTGGCTGGTTACAAGAAGGAGCAGCTAGAAATCTCTATCCACGACCACAAAATAAGTGTCAAGGCTAGCAAGCCAGCTGAAGAAGAATCAAAGAAGTCGGACGAGCAAAGATACTTAATCAGCGAACTCAACTCAACTCCCTCAATCAACAGAACGTGGAGACTCCCAGAGCACGTCACAGAGGACAATATTCACGCCGCCTACGATAACGGTTTGCTCACCCTCAGATACTCAAGACACGCGCCCGAATCTGAACCAAAGAAGATTTCCATTAGGTAGACTCGCTTCCTTTTGATTCAATTACGATTGTAAACTAAAATATCACTATTTACGACTTTCCATTATAGGACTCAATCTGAGTCACATCAATTGTGGTGTGTTGAAAAAAAAACCTAGAAAAAGCGTTTAGCTGATATTCTTCTGAGATAATTACGCTGCTACAGACTTTATCTCCCTTTTTATTCAACAAGTTGCAGCCATGGAGATTTATACATAAGACAGCGTAAATGCGAAGCTTCATTAAGATGTGATTAGGCTATATTGAATCTTAAGACAAGATTTAAGCCTAACACTACAAGCATTGCAAGCAATATGAACGGTAAAAAAGTAATAACAGGTCACGCGAGAATCACAGTAACAAAACAAAGAGAGGCATCACATAGGGCAGAAGCCAAATATAAATACAAATATATTCTAGTCAAAGCATCTGAATTGATTCAAGTCGTTTACGTGTACTTCTCCAAGTGTAAACGGTCTGATGCGAGAGTGTAAGCACCGTCAAGAATCTCGGTGGAGTTGGTTTGATATTCGTTGGTGGCCAAGTTAAGGACAATCTTTGCAAGATCTGCTGCAACGCCAGCACGGCCTGATTATAAAATTAAAAGATGTGTCAAATGTATACTCCCACGCACCGAATGGAATTTGCCATTTTTCTCTAAATAAACTCCTTTCGCCTTGTGTTTCAACTGATGTCATCTGTCAAACGCGTTAGCTTCAAATACTCGCCATGATTTTTACTCACTTGGCTAGGGAAGTATCCCAAGGCGAGCTGGTTAACCCTGATGCCGATGTGTGGACGTGCCAACTCAAGTGCAAGCTGATGGCTGAGAGATACAGCAGCTGCCTTATTGCTGTTGTAGCTGAATTGACCATTCTGCGCGTTTTTTTTTTGTTAGTAGGTCTGATATTGAAATGATGCACCCACCTGTGAGTTCTTGACGATACCAGAGACGGAAGTAACATTTATTACGTTTCCAGATGCACCTCTGCTCTTGTTTGCAGCAATAAGTAGAGGGAGGAAGGCTGCAGTGGTGAAGTAGATAGCAGCTACGTTGATTGCGTATGGATCAGTCCAATCAGCGAATGATTGGTCCATCATGCGCTTGCTGATAGCTTCTGGTGAGTTGTCGTTGGCGTCCATTTCCGCTCTGACTGTGTTCACGCCGGAGTTGTTGATGAGCAAGTCAACGTGATCTTCCTTTTTGCTGATTTGATCGACGATTGCTTGAATATCCTCCTTCTTTGTCGAGTCACCTGCAACTGGAATAATACTGCTCTCATATCCAGACGCTGTCTCCTGGAGCTTCTCAAGGCGACGACCAGTGATGTACACCTTAGCACCATTCTGTGCTAAGCAGGTCGCCATCATCCTACCAACGCCTGATCCAGCACCTGCTCTGCGAGTCAGCAAAAGCTAACATCTACATTGTCAACGCACCAGTGACCACTGTCACCCATCCCTTAATATTGAATAAGTCTACTGCTTGTAATGAGGCCATTTTGATGTTTTCTGTTGAAGTAAGAATATCGCCAAACCATTCAAATTATTTTCTTCCAAATGACATCATTGCGGAGAAGACCGAAAAGGACAATGAAGATTTTGACTATCAGTTCTTAAGTAATAATCTCTATATTTGATGTACAATAGCATTAAATTAATACAGTCCTAGCGCTATTACAGTCCTCCACTGCCGCTGAGGAAAGTCTCGAGCACATTTGGCCCATCCTGGATGTCTAGCGGCAGCAGACCATCGAGGGGCGGCGTACCATTGACTCCTAGTGTCGCTGCATTGATCGTGTTGTACTGCACCTGGCCAAGCAGTTCTTTGAACAGTTGTTCAGTCGACTCAGTCTGATTAGGAGTCGTCTCAGATGAGTCGTCCAGAAAAGGCATATGTGGAAGGAAGGAGTCGGTTAAAGTTCCATAGCTCTGCATTTTAATATTAGTAAGCTTTTCGTGAAATGACACACTCACAAGATTATCCTGCGTTTGCATGAACGATTGGTCCATTGGCAGATTGACAGCTTTAATTATTTGCATAATCATATCCACCGCTCTTCCATTGAGTACCTCCCTCTCCTCCCTCAGCCTAAGAACTTGGATAGCCGATTGTATGTAACTGAAAACTGAAGTGTCCAGATCATTGTTCTTGAGGCCTTCGCATGCACTGATGATGAGTATGAGTGCGGCACTGAAAGGCTGTGTGATAGTGTTAGCGAGGTCGTTTCATTAATACAACACCCACCCCCCAGGCAACGGTGGGGTCTACCCATAGATGCTGCAGCTTATCTTCTAGCAGCATATCGCGGTATATAGAAATGATGCTGCGGGCTGAGGTTGTGCATATCACCAAGCTGGTATACCTGAAGCTCGACGTCGACTGCGAGAGTGGGTCTGGTAAGAAGGTTTTGTAGAGACATATCTGCAATGATTAGATGTGTGTTGTTTTGAACATTGCTGTACTCACCTGCACAACATGAAACGCTAGCTTCAGGTTACAGTAAAGTTGGTATACGTATTCATCGTTACCGTTTTTATCATCCATTGACTTGTTGCTCTTGCTATCTGCCAAACTTTGTGGAATCTCATTTAGCCACTTGTTCAGTTTCGAGTTGAGCGACGCAATGTCTGTCAAAGACATCAAGAGGTCGTCTCCATCCGAAGTTTTTCTCAATTTGTACTAGCGCACTGTCAACTCGTGTGTCGATAGCGCGATGGTACCCACAATCGTTTGTATAATCTGGCCATGGATTTTGTATAGGTCGATGAGAGAGTTGAAGTACAAGACACTGTACTCCGACTCATCATCTCCGAGTTGGTATTTTGGCAAGTCTAGACTAATTTCATTATCCTTTATGAGCGTCTGCCGTCCAAATGTGGAAGCCTGCACTCGATCCATGAGATACAGCGACCAATACGCCCTTTTTCTCAGCTCTAGATCATGTGGAGCAATATTAAAGTCAACGAAACGCAAATGCAAGCCGATATCATGAGCAAGCAAAACAGTATTACCGTGAATCATCCACCCGCTCCTCGAATGAATGCCTTTTTGAACATATATCTGGAGCAAAATTAGAGCCTGAATATCTTCTATAGTCGCCACGTCTATGTACGGATCGATCATTTTGCTTTTTCCTATACTGTGGTATCTGAGTCCTGCTAAAAACTGATGTTGGCCCTCAATCAGTACACGCTCATCGTTTGAGTATTGAGCTCCCAATGCCAGGACTAACATAAAAAGAGCCTCAAAATTCCTCTCGTTTCTACGGTAAGCTATGCCTGCGACGAAGCGCTTCTTGCTGAGCAGCGGGATTGAACGGTTAATTTTTTCAAAGTAAAGGTCTACTAAAGACTCTACCAAACTGGGACTCAACAAGTCAGGAGGAAGATGGTCTAAACCATCTATAAGAATCTCTTCCTGCCAAAAGCGAGGTCTCTTGCCGCTTAAAAGGGCTGTTGGGGAGAATCCAGTATAATTGCTCAATCTTTCGATGAGCCCACGAATGCTTGCCTTTCCAAAGAATCTTTTTTGTTTTTCTGGTTGATTTTGTGTCGTTATTCCATTGTGCCTGCAATTCTCCATTGACTCATCGACGTAAAAGCCATCATGAATATCGGCAGCTTCCGAGTGTTTCTGAAAGCTGGGTGAGGAGCCGGACCACTTCCGCTTAGCAGATTCCGTGACTTCCTGAGGGACGAACTTCTCGAGGAGATTTTTGTAATCTTCGTTCAAACCCTCACTATTCCTGAGCTTCAATTCCAATTCGCTAACGTAGCTAGGTCTTTGAAAGCCCTTGGTTGTATAAATACACTCGATGTTTTTGCAGTTCGAGCATTTACTAGGATAAGTGATGTCGGCATTGCATTTAATTTTCCTTCTCCTGGCTCTAGTCAGACGATATTCCCGAAATTACTACCTATTCACCTGCATCCTTCGCACTGGCTTGGTGTTAGAATGGTATATCGTAACCAGCGCACTCACAGCTCTCACGATCTTCGGCCTCTTGTTAGCTTTCGAGGTTTCTTCAGAGATCATTGATGACGGCAATTGATCAACCAGCGATATCATTTTACGATGACGTTGTGGACTTGCGATATGTCTCATTTCGCAAGCAATCAGTGAATCGTCGAAATTAATATAAACAAGAATATTATAACAAGTGAATCGTAAGTCGAAATTTTGATCATCTATCGACTAGCGTAGGGGTAATTAGTTAGAGTAAAAAGAGAAGTCATTCCTATAAATCCAAATGTCCGTATAAACGCATTCTTATGCGTTGTTTTCAATATGCTCCGTGTTTTTCGTCTTCTCGTCACGAACTTGGTGGCGAAGGTCCGTTGTTTCACGCTCACTAGCCAGAGTTTGCGCAAACTTGCTGTGCTTTCTGACTGATTCACCGTAGAAGTAGAGAAGGAAGATTGGAATGATAAGCACAGTCGCTATGCAAGCGAGAATTGTACTTGGAATCTCCAATGTGTTATTGTCAAAGTGATTGTAGAATGGTGAAGCGAACATTGCACTGATTCCTGCTAAGAAATCTCTTGCAAATCCGTTACCACCAGTCGCTGAGCTGGCATACGGTCCGTAAGCTGCAACCATGTAGTCGATCGTCGCCATGTAGATTGCATAGTTTGCTATTCCGATCAAAGCAGCAAATATCAAAGGCGCAATCCAATGTACGTCACGATCAGGTCCAAAAGAGGTCCAAGAAAAGCCGAATAATCCGATGGCTTCCAGGGGGGCGGTCCAAAGTAACCAATAAAGACGCTCTTCCGGAGGTACAAAGACACCCCTTTTTCTCTTCAACTCTTGTCTTCTGAAGAATGGAAGGAAACTGACCCAGCCCAAGAAGTATGAAATGAGAATAGAGACAAAGGCGAGACTGGAGGGAGTCAGTATGGTAGTTGTGTTTCCGCGATCACTGCACCTACCCGACTTGGTAAGTCTGGAAGTCCCATTGTGCGAAAACTTTACCGAAACTATCCAGGAAAATGAAGATAAGCTGTGGTTTGTTAGTGATGACTGGTGGGGATGACTTCATAGACTTACCATGTCTGAGAAACCAGAGAGCAGTGAACAAGACAAGACAATTGGCTCGCGTATGAACATCTCGAATGGTCTGTACCAGATGACGAGAATTTCCTTCATGCTCAGGCGTTGCTCGCGTACTTCGTTTGGACCCCAGATGTTGAGTTCAATACCTTCTTTAGCAGCTGCTTTGCGTCTTCTTTTAGCTTCTCTGTCAAGCATGATGGTCGATCTGGTCTCTGGAATGCAAAAATGCAAAAGCTGAGCTGAGACACCCCAGATAAGCTGCGTGTAGAAGCTGGTATTATAATTAGAGGTGCTTAAAAAGCCAGGAGCTGTGAAACTCACACCCAACGCCATGCTGGTCCTGGTCCAGCGAATTGTTCTACGAATCCACCGACTGACAGTCACTGTTAAGATGAGATCACCTCAAAGAGATGAACTTACGGATTGGACCAGCAGTTGAACCAGCTACACTACTCCAAACGATGAATCTGAAGCTGATTTAGCTTGATACGATGACTAAAATCTTCACCCACCCTAAACCGTACTGTTGAGTATCAGGGCCCCATAAATCAGCTACCATTCCAAGAGTAACACTACCACCAGCGGAAGACAGACCGCCTAAACCACGGCCAACAATCATAGCTCCAATGTTAGGAGCACGAGCGCAAAGAATGCACCAAATGTTTACCAAAAATAGGGAGAGTTGAAGAATCGGGAAACGACCAAATTCCTCAGACCAGGGCGCCCACAACTCACATCCGAAAGCGTACGCAACCAAGAAAATCATTTGTCCAGTTTTTCCCGCAGGGGTTGAGATGCCAAAATGCTCAGTCATTCCTGATAGAGCGTTGTTGTAGACTGAGGCATTGTAATTCATCGACAGCTGGACGTATGCGACGACGCCAGCAATTGCCCATTTCTTTTTTTCGGAGAAAGCAAGTGCAGTACACTCAGGTGCAGCATCCTCGGTGAGGATTATCTTGCCTTCAGCGGTCTTGTTCTCAAAGTAAACGCCACCGCCACCTTCGTTCTTGGTGGGCTCGTTGGACGAGCTGCCAGATGAGTGCTGAGTCTTTTCAGTCTTCTCCGCGTTGAGATCCTCAAAACGTTTAGCCTGTGTAGCCATTGCGGGGATAAGATGATAAATTTCAATCAGTGGTGAGAGTTGAGAGAATAAGAAAAGTGATCGACTTTAATCTTGTGGAGAAGTGGGTCAAGTGACGCTACTAGGCGTAACTAATTTCATAACGACAGATTTTCAAGTCCGGAGGCGGAAATTCTGCCGGAAATGATCGAAATGCCTAATACATAATAAGAGGGAGGGATAGTATAAGAACTTCTGTTGAGCTTTTCGGATTTTAAGTGTGTATTATGGTGTAATAATAGCCCCGTCCTCACCCAAAGCTCGCAGGAATGAGTAGTGCCATTCTTCACCGCGGAGAAGGTGGAAAGCGGCAGGATTGAAGGGGAGTTTTGCACTGTATGTGGAGGCACACAGCGGCAACTAGACGCATCTGATAATGCTTCCCCACCTTCTTTCTCCAACCGAGCCCTGGAGTAAGATGCGACGGCACGACGATTAGTAAACTGGGTGAGTCGCTGACTGAGGCGGGTGGATGGGAAAATGATGTAAACTGATGTAAATACAGTCTTACAAGAATTTTAATTGTATTGTGTTTTTCCTGTCAAAATTGCTCAGCTCAGCGCTTATCAGTATGTCTTATCAGCTGGAACGTTAGATTAAACCTGTCTCTTTTGAGTGAAACCAATTGAACAAAGACATATATGGCTTTAGACTGTGTGATCTTAAGGTGCGCACGCAGCCAATCCGGCTCCCACGGCGCACAACTCACACCACACTAGAAACCAGTGCTTTCAAGTCGAGTGCGCAAACTGCAACAAGCAAACCTGGAGTGGCTGTGGACTGCACAAGAATGCCGTGAGTTTGCTTGCTTACGTTTGCTGTTACTGCTCCTTGCTAATCTACCAAAGGTCCTCGAGAAAATCCCCAAAGAAGACCGCTGCAGTTGCAAGTAAGGCGTCAATGGGGGTTTGTAAAACTCTCAGCACTATATAATCCCTCTAAATATAATATTTGTACACAGAAACACTTTTAAAAACCCTCCAATCGACGTCGATGACCTCAATGCTATGCGCATTCTCAGCTGGAATATCAACGGCACACGCCGTATTTTAAGAAATTACCAGAACTGTGATGATATGTTGCGCAGCCTTGACGCCGATATTGTCTGTGTTCAGGGTGCGTTTAGAGATGGAGAGATGACGCTATCTGACGCGATCCACGATAGAGACCAAGATGCTGAAGGGGGCTGTTAACTCCTCGCAAGCCATCCTTCATGGCTTCGACTCGTATTGGTCGTTTTGCCACAGTAGATCTTACTCCGGCGTATGCATCTACACGCGTTACAAAGCACTAGCTGCAGAAGAGGGATTAAGCGGGGGATACACAACATACTCCTTGTCACTCCCACCCCTCGCCTACAATCAGAGAGTACAGCCAGTCTCTGAAATACACAAACACAACGACGACACACTCCTAGCACACAACTACCATCCAGAAAACACTAACATCAAGCAACTGGACACAGAAGGGCGCGCACTCGTACTTGATTTCGGTTTCTTTGTCCTCATCAACGTGTATTGCCCAGCAGAAGGGGAGAACCGCGGCCATTACAAGCACTCATTCCATGAAATGCTTTTTGAGAGGGTGAAACAGCTGAAAGATGCAGGAAGACAAGTCATACTGCTCGGTGATCTCAATGTCGCTCATCGGCCATTCGATCACTGCGACGGGATCGATTTGACGCGCACTGATACAGGCAGGATGGAATTTGCTGCCAAGTACACACGAAAGTGGATGGATCGATTGGTTAGCCATTCAGACTCTCCGCTTGTTGATGTGGCTCGCCTCCTGCATCCTAACAAAGAAGGCATGTTTACGTGCTGGAATCAGGTTATTAATGCAAGACCATCCAATTACGGAACGCGCATCGACTATGTTCTCGTGACACCCGGTTTGCTGCCGTGGATTAAGGAGGCTGAGATCGCACCACACGTTTACAACTCGGACCACTGCCCCGTTTACATAGACCTACATGACGAGATGGTGATAAAAGATGGCAATGGCGAGAGGGCGGTACGTTTGATAGATCTTCTACCACCTGCTGATACATCTACACCACCGTTATGTGCAGCGAATTGGGATGAGTTTAATGGTAAGCAGACTTCATTGGCGGGATTTTTGAAGGTTGGGAAGAGATCGCAAGCGATAAACGAAAGTGCACTACAAAATGGACCGCAGTCACAGTCACAATCACAATCACAGTTGCAACAAGAATCTACCAAGCACTCCCCGCAACAGCCAAAAATAGAGTCGTTCTTCCAGCCTCGCACACGTACACTCGACGATACTCATACCACCCCCTCATCACCTCGGAAATACCGTAAAGATAATGACACTGCAACTAAAACAGCATGGAAAGCACTGATGGCACCTAAAAAGGTACCCAAATGCAAAGTACACAAGGAGGACTGCAAGGAGTATACGGTGAATAAGCCAGGTCCGAATAAAGGCAAGCAGTTTTGGCTGTGCAAGCGAGACGTTGGACCTGGTTATGATGCGAGTGGATCGAGTAGTCAGTATCGATGTAACTACTTTGTGTGGTCCTCCCAGCTTGAGCGAGATTTGAGTGGTGTTTAAGTGGCTTTGTTAAATAATTGTTAAAATATAAATTATGAATTGTCATGTCATTCTCTAGAGTCTAGAAGCCAATATCATTTAATCCCCACTCGCAGTTTCCTAATGCGGTTTATAATAGATATTAAATCAACATTGAGACTTATAAACATCTTTGAGTCACAACAACCATGGCAAAGACGAGTAGAACTAGAAGCAATTCAGCAGCAACGTGTGCTTCGATTGCACCCTTTACATCCATTACATCATTCGATGGACACAAGACGAAGCTCGGCCGGAGTAGAACGACGTGCACCGGCAGCAAACCAAAACCCGTGGCAGCTTCCAGGCAGCTCGCAAATGTCCTCAACATACATCCAAATGTGCCGAAAGTGGAGACAATAAAAGTTGGAGGCAAGATGGTGCACCAGCTCACGATAAAGCTTGGTAGTGAGATATCTGTACAACGTCGCACTCGTTATCGTAGTGAGAAGATGAGGGAATTGGAGAGGGATGTGTGGTGGAAGTAGGTTGTATTGCTAGTATTTGCATTGTTTGCAGTCTCATGTTTGTAGTATTCGGATTCCATTTCATTTTGGCTTTTCTTGAAACTTATTTAGCTGTTTATACCGCCCATCGTTGACAGCACCTCCACTCTCTTCCACCCCTTCAATGACGACGCCAGTGATACGCTCGATACACATCGATTGCTATGAGATACGCACAACGCCACCACCAAGCCATACAGTCTACAAGATACACGTGTCTACAAATCTCAATTCCTATGTTATTGACAAACGTTACTCAGATTTCGATAATCTCGATAAGCAGCTGAGGGGATTGGATAGCGGTGTGGTGACGATACCCCCGAAGCATTTGCTGCGATTTAGGCAGTCAACAAACGAGCCAGTGATAAAGGAAAGAGTCGATGGCTTTAATAAATACCTGCATTTCATCATTTCATCTAGGAATCCCATTTGGAGGGATTCGAGGGAGTTTAAAGCATTTATATGCTTGCAAGCACAGACGAGAGGCGCATTCAACTGGATGGAGAGCTATCGTACTCTATCCAACCAACTTAGAGTGCTTAAGGGGTTGGTATACAAGAGCGATAAGAGCGCGAGAAGGGAACTGTTCGTATGCCTAGCAAAATTGAGGGAATTGCAGCTCAATTTGGATACTACGAAGCAATCTATTAGCTCAAATGAGTTCAATAGCAGACATCAGTTGCTGCTATCGCTCGTTGATCAAGTAGACTTGATTGAGTTGATGCTGAAGGATACCAGCAAGCAAAATAAGCAAACAGAGCAGCCAAAAACGCTATCATTTAACAGACAATCCAAGCCTGTCGAAACTGAGGAAACTCGTCCACTCGATTCCACCCAACTGCACACCTTGCAATCAACCAAGATGGCCAGTCAGGATACGCAAATTGAACAAATCTCATTAAGATTACAGAGGCAGCTTGAGATGGGACTTGCGATTAATTCCGAAGTCGCTCAGCACAACGAACTTCTCGACAGCCTTGATGGAAGTCTCAACAACTTTGACGTAAATTTGAATAAGGCAAATAAGATGTTGAATAGGTTGTAAAGGTGTATGTATTCTCTATGTCTGCCCAGCTTGTGCCCATCCCAGTCCTTTTGTTCCAATCAACCACGATCAATTTGTAATCCAGTGGCAGGAGAAATGAGAAATCTTCTTAAACTCAAAGACTGCACGTCGATCACGCCCAACTATGCCTCACTCTCCAGCAAGCTTTCTAAAGTTCGGCAATTGTTGGGCAACGAAGCCAAGCTGACGCTTGCAGAGAAGATTCTGTATTCACACTTGCACTCGCCGGAGGATTCACTTGCTGGAAAAACACACTCCAGTCTGCGTGGCCAGGCCTATTTAAAGCTTTCTCCCGATAGAGTGGCGATGCAGGATGCATCCGCGCAAATGGCCTTGTTGCAATTCATGACTTGCGGGCTGAGCACTACTGCAGTACCCACTTCTATCCACTGCGACCATCTCATTCAAGCCTACGAAGGCGCAGCTGCTGATCTTAAACGTTCAATCGTCAGCAACAAGGAAGTTTTCGATTTCCTCGAAAGCGCTTCAAAAAAGTACGGTATAGAGTTCTGGAAGCCTGGTAGTGGTATTATACACCAACTTGTGCTCGAAAACTATGCTGCGCCTGGTATGCTAATGCTCGGTACTGACTCGCACACACCAAATGCAGGCGGTATGGGTATGCTGGCTATTGGTGTAGGTGGCGCTGATGCCGTAGACGGTATGTCAGGCACACCGTGGGAGCTCAAGGCTCCAAAAGTTATCGGTGTCAAGCTTACAGGCGAGATGAACGGTTGGACTACCCCCAAAGACCTCATTTTGCACTTGGCAGGAAAACTCACCGTCAAGGGTGGTACAGGATCTATTTTAGAGTACTTTGGTCCTGGTTTAAACACTCAGTCGTGCACCGGTTTGGCTACCATCGCAAACATGGGTGCGGAAGTTGGCGCTACTACGTCCACATTTCCTTACTCGCAGTCTATGAGATCTTACTTGCATGCTACCGGTAGAGGACCTGTAGCTGAGGCTGCAGATGACGTCAACGCACAACACTCCTTCCTCAAAGCAGACGCTGGTGCTGAGTATGATGACGTGATTGAAATTAATCTTTCAGAACTCGAGCCACATATCAACGGTCCATTTACACCTGATCTTTCCACACCTCTCTCAAAATTCAGTGCGATGGTGAAAGAGAATAACTGGCCAAGCACACTCTCGGCGGGATTAATTGGTAGTTGTACTAACTCGAGTTACGAGGATATGTCGAGAGTGGAAAGCATAGCTAATCAAGCAAAAAACGCTAACAGAATTGCGGCTGTACCATTCATGGTCACACCAGGTAGTGAGTTGATTAGAGCAACGATTGAAAGAGATGGTGTACAATCAACCCTCGAAACTGTCGGTGCTACCGTTCTAGCTAATGCTTGTGGACCATGTATAGGACAGTGGGATAGGAAGGAGGCGCAGAGTGAAGATAATGGTGAGTGAGAGTTATAGATGATACGCGACGAAAACGCTAACATTTCACAGCCATTCTCACCTCATTTAATCGTAACTTCAAAGCGAGAAACGACGGTAACATGAAAACGATGAACTTCTTAGCAAGTCCGGAGATAGTCACTGCGATGACGATTGCTGGTAATATGACATTTAATCCAATGACAGATACAATACCAGCAGAAGGAGAAAAGAAAGCTTTGAAGTTTGAACCACCTCATGGTACATTCCTTCCTGCTGACGGTTTTGAGGTTGGTGATGAAACATTTTCACCAAGACCAACACCTCAACCTATACCCGAGACGGAGGTGAACATTGACAAGTCTAGCAATAGGTTGGAAATACTCGAGCCATTTGAGTCACATTTTGAAAACAGTGAACAACCGACAGAATTGAGTGGGTTGCAGTGTTTGATGAGAGTGAGAGGAAAGTGTACAACAGATCACATTTCAGCTGCTGGACCTTGGCTCAAATATAAGGGACATTTGAGTAACATTTCAGAAAACACATTAATGACAGCGGTGAATGATGAGAATGGTAATGTGAATTCTGCGTATGATTTCTTTAATGGGAAGTACAACACTATTCCTAATGTAGGAAAGGAGTACAAAAGAGAGCGTAAGCCTTGGATGCTAGTTGTTGATGAGAATTATGGTGAAGGCAGTGCTCGTGAGCATGCCTCAATGCAACCAAGGTGGCTTGGATGTGCTATAGTGTTGGGTAGATCATTAGCACGTATCCACGAAACCAATCTCAAGAAGCAAGGTATTCTTCCACTCACATTTACAAACAAGGAGGATTACAGTAAGATAGATGCAGGTGATGATATAAGCACGCAAGGATTGGTTCAGTTGTTTGGAGGTGCATTAGACACACCACTCAGCGTCAATGTTGAGAAGAAGGATGGAAGGAAGCTGAGTATCCCAGTGAACCACACCATGTCGGTAGATCAGCTTACGTGGCTGAGGTATGGAAGTGCACTGAATGCAATTGCAGCAGCGGCCAAAAAGAGACAAGAGTAAACAAAGAGATAATCAGTGAAGCATATATTTATGAAAAAGATAGCTTAAAGAGAGCTTTACTTAGTAAAATAAGATGAGACACATAGATTTGAATTATTTTTGATTAATGGAATTTAGTTATCTACTTGAGCGTCAGCCTTGGATCTTAAATCGTGAGCAGTAAATGAACCTCTTGGCTGAGACTTGTTCTTGGAGAAGAGAACAGGGCGAAGGACATTCAAGTAGAGAGTCTTTGCGCCTTTAGTTTGAGGGAGCATGAGCCAAGCGGAGAATCCGATCCTAAGTAGTGAAAGTTAATATCGTGTCCTATAAAAAACACCTAGACATACTTGAAAAGGTAGTAGAAGGGGAAGTACTTGACAATGTTAACAAGGCTCTCACCAAAGGTAAAGAAGGAGAAGACCACGAAATAAGTGAGCCATTGAATGTCATCGTCGTGTCCTGGAGATTCGATGGCGCAGAGTGCGTAGTAAGCAGGTATAGCGAAACCGATGAGGTTTGAGATGAAAGCAGCGCCAATGTTGAAAAAGACGAGAGCAGCGACGACAAAGGCTAAGCCTGGAGCGACGTACGCTTTTGGTAAGCCAATTTGAGATTCAATCGGCGGAAGGGTCAGCTGGGTGTTGGTGGGGGGAGAATAATATTCACCTTTGAGATTTGTGGGTAAGCGCTGAGCTGGAAAGGTTGATTAGTAAGAGAATGGGCGTTGGTACAAGCAAACACACCTGCTTATCGACCTGGAAGACATTAGTATTATTGATACACAGCGTAATCAATCAAACTCACTTGGTTGACGTAGTATTGTGCCTGTAGCGTGGCTTAGAAGAGATGAATGCAGGCAAAAAGCCAGACTCACCTTGGCTTGGATGTCTGCTGCTGATGCCATTTTCAGGAATACTTGGTGGGAGTTAAGGCAGTCGAGTGGGTGAGTAAGGAAATAGATAATTAATATTAATATAACGTATAGTGGTTAAGTACGTTAGACTGGGCTGTTACATCCAGCTTTCTTCACCATTTGTACTTGTAGTCCCTCTATCAAGGTGAATATTTTCACCTACATCATAACTCACTGGAAAATACATGAATGAAGACACAATCACACACAGCACCTATAACACACCCTATACACACCACTCGCACGACAAAATTAATTTCAAATTTTATAAAATCTGAGCGTATAAGAATTTCGCAGCTGACTTCCTGGCTCCTTGTCGATTGACGATAAAGTGGGCGAAGGACGACACAAACGATGCAAGTTTTTGTTAAGGTGGGAGCATATATTGCGTACTTTACACGCAGCTAACAAAACCATAGACGCTCACGGGTAAGACTATCACCCTCGAAGTCGAGTCCCAGGACACCATCGACAATGTCAAGACCAAGATCCAAGATAAAGAGGGTATCCCACCTGACCAGCAACGTCTGATCTTTGCTGGTAAGCAGCTTGAAGATGGTCGTACGCTCGCCGACTACAACATCCAAAAGGAGTCAACCCTCCACCTCGTCTTGCGTTTACGTGGTGGTGGTAAGAAGCGTAAGAAGAAGGTGTACACCACTCCAAAGAAGATCAAGCACAAGCCTCGTAAGGTCAAGATGTCGATCCTTAAGTACTACAAGGTCGAGTCTGATGGCAAGGTTAAGCGCTTGAGAAGAGAGTGCCCTGCGCCTGAGTGCGGTGCTGGTATCTTCATGGCTTGGCACCACGACCGCCAGTACTGTGGAAAGTGTGGTCTCACTTACACTTTCGAGCCTGGCACCAAGCCACCAGCATAGAGTGGTGTGTTTGGAGTATTTAGCTATACTTGATCACAAATGCATATACTTTTATGTTTACTTGGTTGTTTTGTGTGTTTTCTGTGATTTGAGTGTGGTATGTTTTGGCCTTAAACGCCTCTTGTTCCTAAACCACCATCATCGATTTTCTCCAAAAATGCCCCTAGGCTATCGCATGCCTGCTAGGCTACGCCGAAAGGCTGGTCAGACGCTCAATTGGATACATCCTCATTCCACTCCTTCTCCACAACGTGGTAGATCTTTCAGATTCTCTGCGAAGAGATGGACCGGTTACAAGAATGCTGATCAGAAGTACGAACATTTGAAGCAAAAACAACCATTGAGATGTTAGTTTAGACTGTTTTGTTTGCGTCTAAGCATCACATCTAACTCCCATTCATAGATCGTCTCAAAATGGCTTGGAAGGACACTCCCACAAAGTGGTATCCTCTCCCTATTGGTATTGGTGCCGCACTTCTCGCTTTTCTTAGCATGCGTAATCGCAATTGGTCTACCAACAACGAGCCTCAAGTTGTGTTTGACGGACAAGCTATGAAATTGCAAGGGCCATGGCAAGTGAGTGTGGTTTGATTATTCGGAGTAACCTCACTCATTTGCTCAAAATAGGTGCATGTTATCGGTGCACTACCACTCCGACAACTCTCCAGACTTTGGGGATACGTTAACTCTTTCGAAATTCCAATATGGGCACGTCCAACTGGTTTCAAAATATACTCTTGGCTATTCAATTGCAACCTCGATGAAATAACTCCAGAAGATCTCACCTTATATCCCAGTCTTGGTGTGTTTTTCTATCGTAAACTCAAATCTGGCGCGAGACCAATAGCCGAATCACCATTAGTTTCACCAGCTGATGGTACACTTTTACACTTTGGTACAATTGAAAATGCACAAGTTGAGCAGGTGAAAGGAGTTACTTATAGTTTGGATGCTTTATTAGGATTGACTGATAGAGCATCTGATTCATTATCACTTTATCTCAATGAAGGAAGCCCAAATGATCCCCACGAACACGTCAAACATACAGATTTTGCTAATGTTAACGGTATAGAGTATAGTTTGGATGAGTTGCTGGGAAAGCAGCAGAAGGAAGGTTCCACTAGAGATGCCGCTATTGAACATGATCTAAGTGCTGCTGCTATATCCCATGATGCAAAAGTTGCACAAGAACTTGGTCGACAAGTGATAGATAGAGCTATTGATAGTGATAGTGATAGTAATAGTGATAGTGATACAAGCAACACTCTTTCAAAACCCACAATAAAACCAGGTAATAAACTATTTTTCAGCGTCATTTATCTCGCACCTGGTGATTACCATAGATTTCACAGTCCAGCTGCATGGGTGGCAGAAAAACGAAGACATTTTGCAGGAGATTTGTTTAGTGTCTCACCGTGGATGGCTAAGCGATTACCCAACTTGTTTGTTTTGAATGAAAGGGTTGCGTTGCTAGGAAGATGGACACATGGATTCTTTAGCATGACTCCAGTTGGGGCGACAAACGTTGGATCAATTATACTCAACTTTGATAAAGATTTGAGGACAAATGTTGGTAGAAGGCCACCACGTACAGGTGCATATAAGGAAGCAGATTATGCTAGAGCATCGAGGGTACTCAAAGGACAGCCACTTCAACGTGGTGAGGAAATGGGCGGATTCTGTTTAGGATCTACGGTTGTAATGGTGTTTGAAGCGCCTGAGGAGTTTAAATTCTTTGGGAATCCAGGTGATAAAGTGAAGATGGGAGAGGCGATGATGGGATAGCAATCGTGATTTGTAATTACAATTTATAATATATATTCTTCTCGGTCTACCACACTCATAAAAACAAAGCATGGGTCTCGCATTCTCGTCGATATTTAGTTTATTCTCCAAAAAGGAATATAAATTGGTTGTCATAGGACTCGATAACGCAGGGAAAACTACAATTCTTTATAGAGTGACGCAGGTGAGTTGATCTATAAGGAATTGTGACACCACTAAAGTATATATAGGGAGAAGTAATTGCAACTGCACCAACAGTTGGTTCAAATCTCGAGCAATTAGAATACAAGAATCTAAAATTCGCTTTGTGGGATATCGGCGGTCAGCAGCAGCTTAGATCGACGTGGTCCGCGTATTATAATCAGGCAAAAGCTATCATACTCGTAGTCGACAGCTGTGAGATTGATAGGCTAGCAGTTGTGAAGGAGGAGCTTCACCGGGCGTGTCAAGATGAGCAACTTGATGATGCATTGTTGTTAGTCTGGGCGAATAAGCAAGATAGAAAGGTGTGTAAGTATTAAATTGTGAAATCCAGATAATAATCTACTCAAAGGAACATGCAGCATCTCCTGCTCAAATATCCGCAGAACTTCAACTCACCGCGCTTAAAGATAGGCAATGGTCGATATTCCCGTGTTCTGCACTCACAGGAGATGGACTCTCAGAGGGATTGGACTGGCTTACAGATCGCATATCTTAATATATCCAGATGAAATAAATGAAATTAATTTTAAAATTACAATTTGTATTTTTATATTGCCTTTTTCCTTTTTCATCGACGACAACGACGCCATCACAGCATTCACAGCTTCAACCACATCTTTGCTGATACTGCCATGTCACAAGCGCAGACACAAACGCAAACACAAACGCAGATGCAGCCACCGCCTGCACCGCCAACGCCTCAAGAGGTTCATCGCAAGCTGTCAATGACCTCAGCACCGCCAAAATCGGACGATAATCTTAACGATTCATTTAAAAAAAGCCAAAGGAGATTGTCACAGAATATTCCTGAGCCTGTTTCAGACAGTCCTCCTAGTCCCACTTTCTCAAAGCACCCGTATCTCAGCGCCGACGACGAAGACCACGAGCCTCTTTCTGAGGAGGAGGAAGTCGCCGCGATGAGTGGCTCGGCGATTAATGGCACGACAATCAATTCCGCCCATGATGCTCCCATTAATGAAGAAAATGTTCTCAGAAATGGTTACCTCGATAAAAAGGGTGGCGGACACCGCAAGCGATGGAAAAAGAGGTGGTTCGTTTTAAGACCAACGAAGCTTGCTATTTATAAGTCTGATAAGGTTTGTCGGTTTGTTTGTTACTTGTCTTTCGCTCACAAATTATCCCAGGAATACCGCTTACTCCGGCTTATTGACGTTAGTGCGATGCATACTTGCGTAGAAGTTGACGTCGGTAAGAAGCATAATAACGTCTTTGGTTTAGTCACTCCAGACAGAATATTTTACCTCAAGTGTCACTCACGTCCCGACATGGAAAGCTGGATTGATGCTGTCAATATGGCGCGTAAATTTATGCGCGAGTCAAATAGTCTTCATACAAGTCTAGCTATCAACAACGAATCATCTTCCCAGCTCTCCCCAGTTAACATCCCCACTCCTGCACACAGACGCACCTCTCTCTCTTCTACTCAAGCCTCTCCTGCTCGTATCGAAACGGGTGGCTTCAGTCTTACAACAGATGGCGGTGAATCTCCCAACGACCGTGACAGTACTGACGACGACGATGACGATGGTGGTCTACCCCCAACAGATCCCAACAAAGTCATCCTCACTGGCTACCTAATGAAGTTGTCTAAACGCAAAGCGTGGAGGAAGCGCTACTGGATGCTCACTTCTGATAAACTTTCCTACGCTCGTTCGCATATGGATAAACCGCAGCGACATATCCCCCTCTCCAAAATTCTCGATACTCTAGAGGCGGAGAAGCAGCCAACATCACCGGAAGGTGCTGAACAGCATGAGCATAAGTTCAAAGTGATTACTGTTAAGCGAACTTTTATTCTCTCAGCTCAATCAGAGGAGGAAGAAATTAGATGGTTGTCCGCATTACAAACTCTCTTAGCTCATAAGAGAGGTTTACCAGTTGGAGATATCACAGCATCACCTATATCGACTATCAATAATAGCCATTATTTAGGCCCTGCACCGCCACAGCTTATCACTCAACCGCCTACGCCACAACTTCATAAACTCGTTGATGTCCCAGAAGAGGATACTGTGGCAGAAGTTTTGGCTGCGGAGGAGGAAAATGAAGAGGGTGATGATAGTGAGAAGCTTAATGGGATTGGAAGTGGGAATGTTAATGGTACTGGACTGCGTAACGCTCTCATCACACCTAATCACGAGACCCAATCAAAACACCAAAGAACTAGAAGCGGTACTGTTGAAGCTAGAGCGGCTGTTGATGCTGTTACAAAGAGGTACCACCCAGATGACCTCAAATAGACGATTAATATATTTTACGCTGACTATGACTCTATTTAAAGGAATATACACACACTAATAAGATGGACTAACTACTTAATCATTTTCATGCACTTACTTGTACTAATTTGGCTGATGTACTTTTGTTATCGAATTACCATCGAATTGCCACAATCATCAATCGTATCATGTTGACGAATTGTTTGCGGAGGAATGTTTTTAAGGGATTTGCATTACCTCAGAGTAGCTTAAGGCAGTATAGATTTTACAGTATACAAGAAAAGCAGCGGGAGGTGTATAAGCAGAGAAACAGATCATTGATGTACTACTCAGCAGCTACGGTACGAATTGCATAAGGAAACGATCTCACGACTCACAAATCCCAGATACTCGTCGTATTAGGTGCTAGCTACGCAGCTGTGCCCATGTATCGTGCATTCTGTTCTGCTACCGGATTCGCAGGCACCCCAATGACAGACCCTAGCAAATATACAGCGGATCGTTTAATACCAACAGAAGAAAGCGTCACTAATAAACGCATTACTGTCAGATTCGCTGCTGAAGCTAGCGATATGTTGCCATGGAAGTTCACACCACAACAGAAGGAAATTAAGGTGCTTCCAGGCGAGAGTGCATTAGCGTTCTACACAGCTACGAATAAATCTGATCAAGATATTATTGGTATTGCCACGTATAACGTTACACCGGGGAAAGTGGGTGGATAGTAGTGCTTGGACATGGTATCAATCTAACTCTCATTCTTCTTCAGATAGCTCCATACTTTGCAAAAGTTGAATGCTTTTGCTTTGAAGAACAACGCCTCCTCGCTGGAGAAACTGTCGATTTACCCATCTTATTCTTTGTCGATAGGGACTTTTTAGATGATCCTTCGATGCGAGGCGTCGATGATATAGTCCTCAATTACGTTTTCTTCAAGGCAAAACATGACAGACGTGGACAATTAGTACCGGTTGGTGTGCAGGATGGCGTAGACGTACACGACATTTCAACACCGAATCTTGTCAAATAGATAGACTAATGATGCATTATAAATGTTTAATATTACAAATTGTGAATCTTCATGTTAAATTTAATCGCTCAATTGGTTGCAATTGATGCACTACGTGAACTTCTCGACCGCTTCTCCATCTCAACAATATCAACAATCGCATCCCGAACAAAAGAGACATTGTAATCTATTGACTGCTTGAACCTATCAAAGGTATCACTTTTTATGAGAGCAATGAGAATTAGATTTTCGTGTATTTGCCATTTGGAAATGGTTATATCGCTAGCCAGTCGTATACTAGCTGTAGCGGGTTGTTTTAAGTTTTTGATAGGGTTAAGATGTTGATCCTGATTTTGCTCGCTTTGATCCTGATCCTGATCCTGCTCAATAGACGGATGATATTTATACAACTTTGAAAATTTGTCGAAAGTGTCCAGGGCATCGACACATACTTCAAAAGTTGAAGCGTCAGCTACTGTTGCATCTGTTGCAAAATACAGTCTGCTATTCTGCTCAAATAGAAATGCCTTGGCTATTCCGGAATTAGCACAGAAGACATTCAACAGGTTCTGAATGACGGGCAATTGTTTAGCTAACTTTTGAACGACTTTACTGAAAGCATCTAGAATTGAATGATCGTATATGCTAGTCAAATGATAGCTAAGCTGTGGACGTAGTAGACTGTCCAAACCGTAATCAGATAGACCATCGGATACCCTTGATTTAATATCTCTAATAGTATCCAACTTATACTCATCAGATAAGCCATCAACCTTGTGTACGAATATTTCAATATTAACTTGTTTATTTGCCTTGTATGCTCTGAGAATGATTTGGTGTAGCTGAGTCAAAGATCTTGTGTAATCGTCTTGAGCGTCAACAACGAAGACTAAAGTGGATAGCTGAGAGAGATCAATGCCGAGTAGATCTAGATTAGCGTGTCCAGGAATATCCCAAAGCTGGAGACCAACGAAGGAGCTTTGGGGATGTGAGGGAGATGAATGACTAGGTACGAGGAAACGCACTCCACGTTATGAATAGCTGATCTAATATTATTCTCCAAGTATAGCGTATCCTTTGCGGCCATTCCAGTGAAAACGACACGCTGGATTGAAGTCTTTCCAGATCTGAAATTTATTCTTAATTAAATTTAACAGCGTGTTGCCTACTAACCTCCTTAATCCCGCTAATAATACTTTCTTCCGGTGTATGTCATCATCTTCCATCTCCACCAACTCTCGCAGTCAACGACCAAGAGTGGATTTAGATGGAGAAATTCAAGAACTCTGGTACAATAAAGCGGGCAACGAACGCTTTGAATAACAGGGATAGTAATAGAGATGGCGCTGTAATCAACCAACAGACCAATGTGGGTGGGGCTCTTACTCACGCCTTTGTACTCACACGTATAAGATGCGTGGATTGACGCAGTATATTGCAGATCTAAGATCTTGTAGGGTCAGGGAGTTAGAAGAAAAGCGTATAAATAGGGAATTAGCCCATATTAGGCAGCGATTCAAGGGTACGTGCGTTGTTATTTGATAGTCCATTCTAATCCCACAATTTAGAGGGAAATATGACTGGTTATCAAAAACGTAAATACGTGGCTAAAATTCTATTCACTTATATTCTCGGTTACAAAGTTGATATCGGTCATATGGAAGCTGCTAATCTTATCTCTAGCACGCGTTACTCTGAAAAACAGATGGGTTATCTTGCATTAACGCTATTGCTACACGAGAATAGCGAACTCACTCGTCTCGTTATCAACTCTATCCGCAAAGACCTCGATGATCTAAACGAAGTTAACAATTGTCTCGCTTTACACGCTATTGCTAATATTGGTGGTATGGAAATGGCTGAGGCTTTGGCAGAGGATGTTCATCGCTCTCTCATTTCTCCCACTTCAAACAGCTTCGTTAAGAAGAAGGCTGCTCTCACTCTACTCAGATTATACAGGAAGTATCCCGATATCGTCCCCATTAGAGAATGGGCTCTGCGTATCGTTAGCGTCATGGATGATGATAACCTCGGCGTTAGTTTGACTGTCACTTCGCTAATTATGACCCTCGCTCAGAATGATCCAGACGCTTTCGCCATTTGCTACCCAAAGGCTGTTGATAGGCTTACAAAGCTCATCATTGAGAGAAAGTACTCTAGTGATTATGTTTACTACAAAGTGCCCTCTCCTTGGCTCCAAGTCAAGCTTCTCCGTCTGCTGCAATATTACCCACCTTCAGAGGACGCAGCAATCCGCTTAGCAATTAACAACGTCCTCAACGCTATCCTCACCAACTCTCAAGATATACCAAAGAACGTTCAACATGCAAACGCTCAAAATTCTGTACTCTTTGAAGCCATTAACTTGTCTATACACTTGGACACCGGGTCTTCGATTGTCAGCGCTGCGAGCGTACTCCTCGGCAAATTCATTCTCAGCAAAGAGACAAACGTTAGATACCTCGGATTGGATACAATGGCTCACCTCGCTGCATGTGCCGACACCCTCGAACCAATCAAACGTCACCAGAATACTATTCTCCAAGCTTTAAAAGACAAAGACGTTAGTGTGAGGAAAAGGGGTCTTGATTTACTCTTCAGTATGTGCGATACTGTCAATGCAAAGCCAATTGTTTCAGAACTGTTGGCCCACCTCCAAAACGCTGACTATGGATTGAGAGAGGAGATGACATTGAAAATTGCCATCCTTACTGAAAAGTTTGCCACTGATGTGAGAGAGGAATTTTGCACTTGGAATACTTTTTTTTTTCACTAATACACTCTTAGTACAAGTGGTATGTTGATACTATTCTCCGACTCATTCAAATTGCCGGTGAACACGTCGGTAATCAAGTTTGGTATAGAGTCATCCAGATTGTTACCAACACGGAGAGTCTTCAGCAGTACTCTGCGCACACAGTTTTTTCATTTCTTCGTCAGCCAGCGTGTCCTGAAAACCTCGTCAAAGTTGGCGCGTACATTCTCGGTGAATACGGTCACCTCATTGCTGACAATCCGGGGTGCTCGCCGATTGAGCAATTCAACATTATTCACCTAAAATCCAACTTTTGCTCTGCATCAACGCGCGCTTTATTGCTTACGACTTACATCAAATGGGTTAATCTTTTCCCAGAAATCAAAGACATACTCGTCAATGTGTTTGACAAGTATAGATACGTGCTAGACACTGAATTACAGCAAAGAGCGTCCGAATATTATGCTCTTGCAACACGAAACGACAATAACGAGCTATTGCAGATAGTCTGCGATGAGATGCCGCCTTTCCCAGAGCGTGAGAGCAACCTTCTCACCTCCCTTGATCGCAAGCACGACGATACACAAGACTCAAGAACGTGGGTTATTGGCGGAAAGGAAGCCAACCGGGATCGTAACATAGTGCGCGCCAAGTCGCTCAACAAGAAGGCAGAAGGTGGTATCTTGCATAAAGGACCCGGCGCCTCGCCGACACTCGATGGTAATCCAACGCACCAAACTGGTCAGCTCCAACCACAACCTGATGCACTAAGTCACGATCTGATCGCGCCGTTCCCTGAGAAGACGACGTCAGGTGTCTCTCTAAGTGCTGCAGCCATCCATGTCGTCAGAAACGACGCCATCGATAGTGATTTCATGGAGTTGCTGTACAACTACGAAGGTGTTCTTTATGACTCAGACTTCTTGAGGGTCGTCGTAAAGTCAGAATACCATGGACCTCTAGGCAGACTGCTTCTACAAATTTTCAACAAGGTTGCTTCGGCGACGCTCACCTCATTCAGTGCTACCATCGACTCGAGCGATGAAGAAGCTCTCAATATTACCTTTCCTCAAATGATGTCCAACTCTAAGATCGTCGGCGGGGAGTCAGTACAGCAGTCCGTGCATGTTGAGTGCAGGAGTGTATATAGTGAGCCTCCAACTTTGCGCATGAGCTATATCGCGGGCTCGCACCAAACTCTGGCCTTGCGCTTCCCCGTCCTCCTCTCGAAGTTCCTCGAACCCGTAGAGTACGTAGATCATAGCTGCAAATGCATCTTTCTAAACATTCTCTCAGGCTCTCACAGACGGACTTTTTTGAGCGGTGGAAGCAGATCGGCGGTGCGCCACGGGAGGCTCAAATCATCTTCCCGATCAGCCTTAAAGCAGGTAGCGTCGATGGACAGAAGACGAATGAAATCTTTACCGGTAACAGATTTAGCGTTTTACCGAGCGTCGATCCGAATCCCGGAAACTTTGTCGCGGCGGCTGTGTTGCACATGTCAGTGATAGGGAAAGTAGGATGCCTGGTACGGTACGAACCCAACCAAAACGCGAAGGTGGGTTTTTCATATGCGTTAATTGCCTCATCTGACATCTATACACAGCTAGCTCGCTTAACTTTGCGCACGACCAATGAAGATGTCTCCATCAAGTTGCTAGACGTGTTGCAAACGCAACTTTCAAGCAAAAATTAAATTAATTGCATTACCTTATGTATACCTCATTATATTATTGCACATTGCACAGCCTTTTGCTGATTGATGTCACATAGCATTCAGGAACACGTACACGGGGGAATTTTTTTTAGCTCGTAGCTTTTATACGCTCTTTACGAGATTAACAATAACTCAATGAAATTCTCCCTCTCCCTCTTTCTTGCTTCGATCCTGACCGCTGCTTCAACTGCTACGGCAGCCGCACCGCCAAATATTTCCTTAGGCAGCGACTTCAATGACTGCCTTCAAGCAACCAGCGGTGCTGTTCTTGCTCCCGGCGATCAAGCGTACGACAGCGCCAGAGAAACTTACAATTCCCGCACAAATTTCTCCCCCAGATACGTCGTGCAACCAAAATCCCTCGAGGACGTCCAGCACGCAGTGAGATGCGCTAGCCATTACAACGTGGCCGTTACCTCAAAATCAGGTGGTCATGGATATGCCGGATTCGCCATCGGTGGTCAAGACGGCGATTTGACTATCGACATGACCAATCTCAAGACACTTACCGTCGAAGAGAACGGTCTTGTTCGCGCTGGTCCTGGTATCCACTTGGGCGAGCTTTACACGGGCATCTACGATCAAGGAGGATGGGTATTGCCCGGAGGGACCTGTCCACAAGTCGGTATTGGTGGCCATACCTCATTTGGAGGTGCGTGTAGTGTGCATGCCCAAGCTTTACTGACGTTTACTAGGTTATGGTCCACTTTCGCGTAAGTCTGGCTTCCTCCTCGACAAGGTCACAGAGGCTGAGGTTGTATTCGCAAACGGCACTTCGGCAGTCGTGTCTGAAGGCGACGATGTTTTCTTTGCAGTCACTGGCGCTGCTCCTTCTTTCGTTGCTGTGACTCAATTCACGTACCAAGCCGAAAAAGAACCATGGAACACTGTCGGGTTCAGCTACTCGATGTACGGCCGCTCACTCGAAGAGTCAGTGCAGGCGTTCAACGGATACCAGAATTTCATGAACTCAATTACAAATGACTTTTACGGCATTGTCGTGCTAGGATCTGACTCTTTCCAATTGTCAGGGAAGTATTATGGCAGTTGGGATCAATATTTCCAAATAGTTCAACCATTACTTGAAGCTATTGGTTTGAGAGATGGCGATGAACAATATGTTTCTCAGGACTCAAACTTTATCACATCCTTCACAAAGACATCTGGTGATCTATCTTCCACTCATGTTGATCCAGAATCCTTTTATAGCAAGTCACTAATGGTCAACGAACCACTGTCGATGGCCGAGGTTTACTCATTCTTTGGATATCTCAAATACGATGCAACCAACGCTGAAAATCAAGGATACAGCTGGTACATAATCGTTGATCCTTACAATGGTGCTGTGCACGATCAATCGACTGATATTAGATCCTTCCCACACCGCAACGCCCTTCTCGATTTCCAGTTCTTCGCATACAGCGGTGTTGAGGAGAGCAAACTTTTCGAGCTCGTTGACGGGATGGTCACGAGTATTACGGACTCCCCTCAAGCTGCTTATCCGAACTATGCAGACCCACGTCTCGATAACTGGCAATACCTCTATTACGGCAACAACTACGGAAGACTTCAGCAGATCAAGGGACAGGTTGACCCTGGCAACACCTTCAGATTCCCTCAGTCAGGTGAGTGTGACGAAAATGAGCGTGATTTTTTTTCTAACAGCCTCGCCAGTCGAGCTTCCATGGTAATGCTTATACATAATACCAAATCCAATCAAACAAGGACAATTGTAAATAAAATTCATGACGATTCATATGTGAACTTAGGTGAACAAGCAGGTTAGGTGATAAATGAGAT